GGAATTAGTGTGATGAGGGGAAGGCAAAAGCTATTTTGGGGGCTGTCTCCCATTCCCTCTGACTCCAGACTCTGAACATGGTCATTTCTGGGCAGCATGTACAAATGCTCCTAGACACTCCTGTCTATAATGTGGGATCAGGTTCCCCAGCCTTTTGAACAGACAGGGAGTCAGTCACTTGAGCCTTCATACCAACCTGTTCACATTGCACTAGTGATGGGTGCCCTGTGGGGAAGGCAGAATATGGTAAACAGCTTTGTGTGATGGGAGACTGTAAGGATGAAGCCTACCATATTCACCCTCTGAACCACAATTTTGTTGCATTAAAATAATTCTATAAAAATACTGTCGTATCTCGTATGTGAAAGGATTTTATTTGCTAAAGTTGGCAGACTTACTCGGCACTTCTGAGATACTGTCCTTTCATGTTTGAGATACCTGATGCTTAATATAAGCATCCTCAGTCTACTTGCCGTGCCCTGTGTGGAGCTCTCCCCACTGAATTTGCATTCACACACCTAGTTTCATCTTACAGTTATATCGAGAGGGAGGTTTTTCTTGAGGGTTAATGGTAATTTATTTCTCTGGAGTTAAGATATGAAATGTTGCTCAGGTCAGCTGCAGAGAGATTCAGTGATCTTTGTCCTAATTGGCAATTGGTTCTCATCACGTAATCAGTATCACCACAATGACAAATTGATGTGATTCTCTCTCTGCCCAGGAGGTTCAGCACTGGAATAGCAGGGAATTTTGCAGGTCAGGAGCGAGGTGCATTGCCAAAGCTCTATGGGGGAAGCTTGCACAGTGCATGTCTATACTCTGCTTGACTTAATCAATGCTAAGATTCCCATTTTCAATTAAAACAAAATTTCCCTCCCTTCCTCCACACACGTGTGCGCACATGTGTGCATGCACACAAGAGATTTTGAAGTTGCAATTCAACTAAGCAGTTTGGTTTAGCGTCTATGCCTTTTGCTTGGATTTGAGGTTCACAGTCTTAAGGTGACCTCTTTGCTTCAACATATATTCTGGGGTATGTTTATGTTCAGAGCCCTCTGCAAATTTCCACCCGTGTTGCCCGAGATGCATTCTTAAATTCTTCAGTCTCTGTATTAACTGAAAACCAGAAAGCCATATATATACACACACAAAAAATTAGTGTTAGCTCTTTCCACATCTTTTGTTTGTACTTAATGCCGTGCTTTTGGTTTTGGTTTTTCTATTTTAATAAGACAAGTAAACTTCTATATGACTTGCTTAGTTTTACTTCCCTATGTAGATAAAAATCTATATGCTTTACCAAAACAATCAGCTATGCTGAGTTTGTAAATATTTATTCTGCTCTCTACTGTTCTGATATTTATAGGCCAGAGCTATCTGAATTAGTCTTGATTTTAGTCATTTCTGTTTGGCTTTGGGAATAGCCTCTAGCCCCTGTTGAATCCCTACTGGTTTGAATGTAATTCCAAAAAAGAAAGAACAAAGATAACTGGCTTGGTGAAGTGGTGAGCTGTATCCTTCATACCACACTGCCTGTGATTTCCAGAACAGTGTTTTGCTGTCCACACATGAACTTCACGTGCTCTCTCTCTCCCATCCATACAGCCATGTATTAAACACTGACATCTGCCCTCTCCCTTTTAGGCAATGCTAATGTTGGAGGCTTTCTGTGAAGACTTAATTTATGACTATGAAAAGTGCCTTCTTGTGCAGTTGTTAAAGACCAAGGCTTCTGGTTTTCAGTTAAAACAAAAATTATTGCTGAAGAGTTCCTTGATGAATTTTGTCCCAAACCCTTGATAAATACATGAAAAAAAATGATCCAAAGATACGTTCTTCCAGACCTTGACCATGCAGTTTTCTACTGCTTCTTTGTCATCTTGCAGCAAAAAGCAGTTGCAAAACTAATAGCCTGTATGAGGGATGGGGTAGAATATGAACAGACTGAGAAAACACCTAAAGAGTAAATTTATGGTATCTTTGCATCCTTCTCTACCCAAAATAATTCCTGTTTTAAGAAAAGAATGCAAGATTATTCCTGCTTAGCATGAAAATGGGAGGCCCCTGTGTTTGAGTGGGGTGTAGCTGCACGACGCACCTGGTATTCACATAATAAAACAGTTTTTGGTGATCTGATGGTGAAGCAAAGGAAATGGATCTTTCTGGAGGCCACTCACTCACTCTTGGGTTCTTCCTCCACCTTAGGAAAAAAATAAATCTGAATGCATTTTTCTGCCCTGTGGTTTCCATTCTAATATAATGATATGAAACCTCTTTCTCTTCTTCTTCTCTTCTCTCTTGGGAATCCGAAAGCAGATGCTCCTGCTGCCTGCCTTGTGCTGTGTTCTCAATGCTCCCTTCCCTGGGTTCCTAAGGGTTGTGGAGTTTTGTGTAAATGTTTTGTAAATATTTAAAAGGTACAGTGGTCAATCCCAAACTGCCCTGGGTTCACCCCCACCCAGTGTACAGTGGGGTTGAGCAGCGCTTTGTCCCTGCTGAGCTGTGGCAGGAGATCTCTGCTGGGATCACTTCAGTGCTGGTCGGTAGGAGGGACTGGAGGAAGTGTGTGGATTGCATTCTTCCTTTTGAATCCACCTGAGATGACCAGGCAGTTTTCTTTGACAGCCTGGGGAAACTATATCAAACTGGCTTCATCTTTAGGATCTCTGTGTTAGGAGAATTTGGTGACCAAACAGAGCCAGCTGTATGTGTCTGTCACAGCCACCTCACACCTCAGGTTCTTGCATTTGGCTTAGGAAATGTTATTTGTTGACTTTCTGTATCACAACAGAGTAGGAAGCAGTTAATAATTAGTTTTGCTGATTCTGCTCTCAAAGCAATCTGAATTCTTGTTTCCTAACTCAATTTCTGCCCAGATCCAATCTATTTAGTAGGATTATATGGGCCCTGGTAGACTTCATACTGATACTGCTTTGCTACATATGAGAAACAAGATACAAACTTTAAACATCCCTTGAATTTAATTTTGTTTTATTCTTGTTTAATAGGATGACATCAGTCTTCCCTTGATGTGTTTGGGTTTTTTTTTGGCTTCCAGGAAAAGAGCTGTTTGTTTCATTTATCCTGTTTACCATTACATTTCTAGTTCTGACCCGTGTAAGTGCCTTTAAATAGCATTCTGCTCATTGTTGCAGTTTACCATGCACTTCACTGAACCATGAATAAAACACCTCCAGAGGAAGTCAAGAGAGCATATTCCTGCTCCTTTTGTTAGTGGAGATGCATCCTCTAGATGCATATTTTGGCACTGTTGTGCTGAACTGAACAAGTGGACATATTTGCAGAATTAATGCAGCCTGCCTGTGTAACAAGTACCCTGTGGCATTCATATTGCTGCAGAGAAGGGGATTCCAAACTCTTTGCTCATCAGCTGCATATTGTGTGGCATTCCAAGATGTGCCCTTGATGACGTTCAGAGACCAAGAGTGCGTAAGCATGCAGCAAAATCTTGGCTGAAGAGGGAGCATTTTTTTGTTTGTTGGTTAGGTTTTTAAATGGTAAGAGTTCATAGTAGCGCAGGTTGCAAATATGTGGTTTTAGGGTATTGTATGTTTATGTCTCTCACTGCCTTCTCCCAAGTTCTTGTATAGGACTGAAGTGTCTAGAAGGGCTTCATATTTAATTAAAAAATTGGTTGTATTGGCTTTCTTGTCTTCACAAAGAAATTGCATCTATTGGTGAGTGGAGTTCTGTAAATAAGCCTGTGCTAACTAAAAACTTGTCCAGAAAGCTGTGAAGAAACAGTGGGTTTTTTTATGTTTGCAGTTAATTTTAGTTTAAGGTAAGAATATGAATTTAGGTTTCCATAAGTGTGCCTAAAAAGACTGTGCTTCGCATGTGCATTTATTTCTTCTTTGAATGGATTCGGTGCTCTGAGCTGAGCTACTCTTGTTCCAGGACTTAGTTTCCACTTAATGAAATAGGTACAACCTCTTGTTGCATAAAATAAGTTAGAGGTCTTGTTTTCATTTTATTTCTGTTTTTAGAATTTTTGTTCAGATATCATCAATTGAGCCAGAAATACAGTGTTATTAACACAAAGAGGCTTAATAGCGAATTAAGTACTGGTGACCAGTGTTGCTTTCTCAGGTCACCAAATCCCTTTATAATGGCAGTGGCATGAAGGAAATGTGACCTATGTCCCTTTATCCTAGTGCAGTGAAGTACAGTTTTATGCCTTCAACTCTGTGATGCCAAACTAATGAGTTAAATTAGTCCATACATTGAACTGATTTATTTAAACTTGAATAATTAAGGCTGGAGTTGATGCCTTGATAGTGTAAGTACTGCTCCTGTGGGAGCACCTTCCCAGTAGTGCTTGTTTCACTGCTGCGGGAGTTGAATCCAGGGTGCTAAATTAGCAACAAACCTGATGAAGCAGAGAGTGAGAGAGAGAGGAATGAGCTTGTCCTCTGCCTGTTTAGCTAGTTGAACTCACAGACCACACAGTAAGATCCACAATTGATCAAGGGGAGGAGGAGGAGCACACAACCAGGGACGACACGGGGTTGAGACACCCTTGACCTGAGTTGGCTGGAGCAGCTCTCAGAGTCCCAAGCTCTCACTCCCAGTGCTGCTGGCCAGGCTCCCGTCCTTCACTCCTGACCTCTACCACTTCCTCAGTTCTGCAGGAGGGATTGGCAGTGGAGCAACACAACAAGCTGGGTTGGGGAAATGATCCAGCTTAAAAATAGCTTCACAGGGTTTTTTTGAAGATACATTTATAGGGGTTTTTTTAGCTGGATTAATTATTGAATCTGATTCACCAGATTGCACAGGTACACAGACCTCCTTTACGCACATGTGCCTTAACCACACTCAGAAGTGCAGCATAGGGGCAGAGTGGAGCTGGAAGAGCTGCTGAAATGGTTGCAGCTTTGGTTTATGCCGATTCCCTCACCAATCTAAAGTGTGCATTTCATTGTGTAACTTCAGTCATGTGTTTCTGAACTTTGTGCTGTGTTTTCTGTCCGTGCATTCAGTCCTGCTCATCTCAGGTGGATTATAGCTGAAACCCTCCTACTCTCTCCAGACGCCTTGGAAACGGGTAGCCGAAATTGTTGTCTCCTTGGCCGTTTTTCAAGCTCCTAAATGTTTATTATGGAAATAAGGAGAAAAACCTACCGCCCACAAAAACAACACAAAACCAACCAACCAAAAAAACCCAAAAACAAACCCCAAACCAAAACTTGGTTAAAAATGAGCACAGCAGCAGATGATGGCAAGGCTGGTTGCTGGCTGCGTGCTGCAGTGGTACTAGGCAAAGACGCTGCTGCTGAGGTGACTGGTCTAAAATCTGTGACAAACGAAGGGTTAACAATGCATGGATTTCAAGGGGCTCTGTTTAGTTTCCTTTGGTTTTCTTTTATTTATTTTTTATTATTATTTTACTTTATTTTTTTGTTGTTCTTTTTGTTTAATTCCTGTGTTCTGACCACACCCAGGAGAACCGTCTGCTTTTGATTTCTCCCTTTACGGTTACATGGTAAATTTTCTTTCTCATTCTTCAGAGATGGAAACGTTCAAATACTATATATATATACATTTATTTATTTTTTTTTCTCTGCTCATCATGTTGCTTGTTATTTATTGCAGAGTCTGAGGCCAGACTAAAAGGGTGGCAGTTACTCGGTCTCTTCAGGCCCTTTGAATAAACCTTTGGGTGAAAAGGGGTTAGTCTGGCACTGCAAATTACTCACTAGTCCTAAAAAATGTTTGCTGGGATTATTTTGTGTTTGCTGGGTACATTGAGGCTTTAACTTATTTTCTGCCTGGAAGAAGTTCCTGGCAGTTGCTGATGGAGAGGAATAATAGAAAATTTCAGCCTTGTTATTGTGACAAACTTATTAAATCCCAACTATTTGTATAATCTAAATGTTAGAAATGTTAAGTCATCTTTTACCCAGGATGGTATCTTCCCTTCTGGATCCATACCTACTGCTCTGGAGCAAACCAGTACCTGCTATAAGGCTACACCAATAAATACTGGACATCTGCTACTTATTTTTTTTCCTTTTATTTTTTTTTTTTCTTTCTTTGTTTTTTTTAAGGACAAGACAACCTTGGGAGGGAAAACTGAGAATTGTTTGTTGTATATGCATTTAGGTGCAAATTAATCCCTATTCTTTACAGGTCGTCTGTGAGAAGGAATTAAAAATATATGTATGTGCTTTTTTCTCTCCCACATCAAATATATGTATATGTATAATTGCTAGCTTTTAAACTTAGAAGTAACAAAAATGTCAAACATGGCTCACCTATTTTCCTGATGAAAATTTGAGTGTCTAAGAGATGAATTAAGATGACAAACCAAGGGGGCACAAATACTGACTCTGCCATAGTCAACTATGTAAAGCATTTTAATTCAGTATTGACATGAAATGGTTCTCAACAAAGGGAGGTGCACCAGCTGACTCTTATGTCAATAAAACAAAAATGGTGGTTAATTAGTTATGTTCAGAATCAGATGTATTCTGTTTTAATTCACATTATTGATTATTTTCATAGTCTGCCTGGGGATTGTACCCTACATTGAGTTGAGTTATTAAAAATATTTTACATTCCTAATCAGTTTAAGGATATTTAATAATAATGGGGTTTTAAAAATCCCATCCATATTTCACTAATTGCAAACAAATGTGAATTAAAATAGTCTTAGTTGGTTTCTAGCCTGCACAAATTAATATCTTAAAAATTACCTTCCCTCTGCTCTCCAGCTTTTGGTTTGCATCATCACTGAAGACATAAATTTCATTCAGTCTCCACAGGCTTGTCTAGAACAAACAGAAATTTTAATGTAAAAAGAGAAGAGGGAAATAGAGATTCCTGTTGCAATGTTTACCTGCCCCACTCCCTCAACCTTTAAAAATGCTTTTTCTGCATTATATAGAACCAGAGGGAAAGGTGTTGATCTATTTCTCAGTCTTGCCTTTCTCTGTAGGGATTCTTTGAAGCAGGCACAAAACCTTGTCCCTTCATAATCAGCTTTGCTATTACACCCCCCATACCCTCCTGGTTCCCTGCAACATATTTGAGAGTTATCTGCCATTGGGCTGTTGTTAGCCCTTATCTCTTCTAGTTCCAGTTTTAATTCATTTTATCAGAAAACTTTTATGCTATTCTGAAAAAGGCATAAATCTGTTATTTATATAGCTTTTGATTTATAGTTGGTGAAAGGAAATAATCTGAAGCTTTAGATTGGATTGGAATCCAAAGAAGTGCTCTTGTTGGGTCTCGGCGTTGCAGTACTTGACTAAGTTATTTTATTATTGCTGTTCATGGGGGAAAGAACAAAAAAACGCCTCACATTTTGCAAATGTGAAACAGTTTTGTGCTGGAAACCTAGCTGTGGATAGTAAAGGCCAGCATGTGAAACAGTTTAGTCTTTTTAAGATTAATATTATAAAGGCCTATAAAAAGCACTTGAAGAATGATGGGTTGCTTGTGTCTTGTTGCTAACAGCACTTAGAAACCAAGGTACTATTTTTTGGGACAGCCCAGTCCATAAAAACTGGACCCTGAGCTGCATGGAGGGGTCTGTGTGGCTAGCATGCCATTTCCCTCACAAGGCATTGCTGTGGTTTAGTTCCATCACCTCACTCTCCAGTTAGTATCAGGAGTTCCCAATGCATCTTGTGCAAGCTTTGTTCTTCCTGCTCCTGAGGGTATCAGAGCCAGCACATACTACTCTTTGTACATGAACTGGTATTTCCTTTGTACCAAGCCATAGGAGCCAGTTACTTCTGCTCTTAAGATAACCTAAAAGCAGAATGCAACAAGGTTTTTTGTTTGATCCCACTTCCTGTAATGGCATGAAGAACAGCTCACCATAGTTGTCTGTAGTAAAGTACCATTTGTTAATAGTTAAAATCCTGACATGACTTAGTCACCTTGGCTCTGTTTTAATGTCAGTGCCCTCATCTTTGTGGAAGGAAGCATGTTCTCTTACCCTGCCCTGCTATGTGACTGCATGAGCTGGCAACAGCATGAGCATGTGGGACAGGCACCTTTCATGTGCCTTCATGGATTCAGTAAAATTAAATTCATCTAACTAAAGGGACATTTCAGTAGCCCTTGATCCTTTGTGGTGGCTCCAAGCAGGGTGTGTCCATTTTTCTCAAACTTCATGGTCTAACTATGGAGGTATTTGTTGCTATCCACGGCACAGAGGTTACCATCTCAGAACAAAGCCAAGTAGGGTGGGTGGCAGGGTTGGAGGGAGGTAGCAGTAGGTCGGGAGTGTCAGACAAAGCCTGCCTGTACTGATGAATTGGTCTTTAGGAGTTTAGATTTACACTCAAGTCCAGCACAGTACTTGCAGATAGAAAAAAATTTTAAACTGCAGTATGTGATACTCTGAATCTTAATGTTAAGTGATGTTTAATTGATGGTGCCACCTAGAAGCCCTGCTTACTTTCAGGGCCCCGTGCGTTATTAGGGAAGTTACAGGCATAGGAGTAGACATGAGCTGTGCCCCGAAGAGCTTACAAGGGATGCTTTACAAACAGCCCTTCCTCTACACAGTTTTCTAAGGTAGGTAATTATTATTGTCTCCATTTTACAGGTGAGAAAAGCAAGGTTCAGTGTTTGATTTGCCCAAAGCTTCACAGAATTGCTGGTGCCAGGCATGAACTCAGATCGCTGCTTGCTCTCATAACAGTTTCTGATGAGAACAAAGTGCTGCTCAGTGTTGATGTCCTGTACTGTGTCTGGGGTGGGTGGGGGGTCCCACAGAGCATGCGTGTTAATTTCCAGAGGGGAGAGAGGCCCCCTTGGGCTTGACCAGCTTCCCTGTGATGGAGCAGGGTTTAGTGTTTTTAAGCCAACAAACAAAACAAGCAAAAAAAAAAATAATTAAAAAAAAAATTATTCTCGAGTAACTTTGTACTTCTTTTTTGGTCTGGCCTCAATTGCTTTTATGTTTTCTTTTTTTTTAATTACTCTTATTCTTATTATGATTACAGTTCCTTTATTTTATCAAATTTTATTTCTTTCATTTATGAAACATGCATGAACCAACAATGTGACTCTAGGAGGTTATTGCTGAGTTGTGCTGATGTCGATTTCATACTGTGATATTTTTTCTCTATTTACCTAGAGATCAGTATTTCAACATATAACGATGTGCATGTTTTCCCCCCTTCTCCCGCTGCATGCAGGGATTCGGGTTCGTAACTTTCGAGAATAGTGCTGATGCAGACAGGGCCAGGGAGAAATTACACGGCACCGTGGTAGAGGGCCGTAAAATCGAGGTGCATGTCTTCAGTAATTCAATTTCTTCTTTATATTTATTCTTTTGATTTCTTTTTGTGTCTTGCCTCACTTATTTCACATTTGGATCCCAGTCTTGTGTGTGTGTGTGTGTTTGTGTCCGTGTCCTTCACCTCCCTGCACTGAAATGTATAAAATTTTACACCCCTTATGGAATACTTTTATTGTTGATTTGGGTATTTTTTTTTTCCTTTTCTTTCTTCTTTTATTAATTTTTTTTCCCCACCCACTCCAAATTTTTGCCCTTCTGCTGTCTTGATTTTTCCTTTGCTTCAGTTTGCAAGGCTCTGATTTCCATGTCCAGGCCTGAACAAAACTAACTGAAAGAGTACTGTCTGACTTCTGACTCTGTGTCCAAAAGGAAAAAAAAAAAAAAAAGCAGGGGGCCAGCCAGTATCCTCTCCTTCCTCTGAGGCCAGTTCTCCTCCACACAAGTGTGAGATGATGCCCGTGGTGGGAGGGTGGGGGAGACACGGGGCAGAAGCCCCAAGTGGACTGTGCTATACGCACTCTTGGTTTCTTCACCTGCTCACAGTCAAGAGTTGGCTTGGTGAGAGCTAATCCTTACAGTTTCTCCCTGTCACCACAGGGGACTGAAGGATTAATGTTGGCTGACCAACGTGGCCATGTGTCGGGCATGCCTGGTGTTGACCGGTTTGCTGTTCCACTGTGTTGAAGGCTAACTGGCGTCTTCCTTCTTTCCCTCTTTCTTTAAAAAAAAAAAATAATAAAAAAATTTAAAAAAAAAATCAAAGAGTACAAATATTAAAACAAGCCACCGTTTTTGAGTAAGATGTCTGCATATTTTGCCTTTTTTTTGTTTTGTTTTTTTTATTTCCCTTTTCAATGGTTTAGCGTTTAGGGCCCTTCACTTGACAAAAAAAACTTTCCATGGTAACTATACACAATGCTGGCGATGGTACGAGTTGGCGGTAAGTGAAACAAAAGCACTAGAGAAGAAGCTTTTTTTATTATTTTTTCTTAAAATTAAAAAAAAAAGAAAACAAGAAAGAAAAAAATCCATCTGCCATCTCACATTAACACTACGAAATGTGATTTGACTTGTTGTCCCCACCCACCCCCTTCCCCCTTCTCCCCCTTTTATTTTCAATGCTGTTGAGTAATGCCGCCTGGACTTTGGATGTACATATCGTTTTGTAGCAGTCTGAGCTGTTTGATTACTGACTTCATGGTGATTTCCCCTTGCACATCTTACTCAGAGTTACTGAACTCCAGTTTGGCTGGTTTTTATTAATGCACCCATTTCCTCTTCTTTCTCTCCTTCCCCTTCTTTCTTGCTGCTCTTTCTTTCTGAGACCTGTTTGTAGCTGTTACTGTTTGTTTTCTTTCTTTTTCTTTCTCTCTCTCTCCCTCTCCCCAGTTTATTTCTTTACTTGGTTAAATGCAGCTGTTGGTCTCTGCTGACTGGTGGTTTCTGATCGGTTCTGGCAATTTTTCCTTTAAGTGCTTGTGTTGCACTTTGCTGTAGCAGCTGATTTCAGGCACTGCTCCATCTTAATGACTGTCTGTGAGACCCTATCTCCTCCCTCCTCCCCTCCCCACCCTCTGAATCAATTGTGGTTTGTTGGTTTTGTTTTGTTTGTTGTTTTTTTTTTTCTTTCTTTCTTTTATCTGTGTGTGTTTAACTGCATGCTCTCAGTCTCATCATTGTTGTTTCCCATTCTTTCTTTTTAAATGTGTAATGTTTCTATTGTTTTGAGGCTGAAACGAGAGTAAATGTAGCTCCAGACTCCCCACCCTGTGTATGCTCACCATTTGTAAGTCTCAAGGGCTCGAGGCAGCTTTTATTTTTATATTTTTTATTTTTATTTACTTCTTCACCCTGGCCTTAGTTCCCATTTGGCTTTGGTTTTGATTGATTATATTTAAAGACTTCACCCTCCTTGCAAGAACTCTGAGGCTGTCTGACATGGGGCTGCGGTAACTTGGCTTCCAAACTGGTCCATCTTTTCTTTATCAGCACCATCTCTGTGGTAACACTCCACTTGCTTGAGCAATCAAACTGCTTGGAACTATGCAGAGCTCTGTAAAGAGGGTGGAGGGCACACACACACAAAAAAAAAATAAGACCCAGATTTACAGCTGTGCATTTCTTCTTTTTGGTCCATGAGATTTGTGACAAGGAAAAGTATAATTTGGAAAAAGATTTGAAAATTATGGGGAGGAAATCGGTGAATGCAGACCATGCAAATGCTTGGTGGCATTCCAGAAATCAAGCCTTGGGAGTTCAAATCTAACAGTGATGGACTCCAGGCTACCTTTTTCTATTTAAACAATATGCCTGCCAGTGACCTGCAGGGCTCTGATCCCAGTGGTGAGCTGGGCGAGTGGTGAGAAATAAGTCAGCTTGTGCATCACCCGTTTCAGTTCCCCTGCCCTGGGCTGCAGAAATTCTTGCTGCCTCTTGAACAGAACCTGGACAAAACCTTCCAGTTTTGCCCTTTCAATCACTGAGCTGAATATAAGCACTCCCCAAGGGGTGGCAGAGAATCTGCCCTTTACTCTCGTTGGCCTTTTGTTTAATGCATAATTTTAAAGTGCCATGTTTAGCTGTAAATTTTATAATTAAATGGCAACAGTTAAAAGTAATTTAAATATTGCATTATTGTAAAATTAGTTGTTTAAATTTTTTTTGCTCAGAGAAGTATAGTGTGTATGTGTGTGGTATCTGAGAGTTTTCCGTCGTTTTCCCTAACATCCTGTGCTTCCTTCCCTCTCCTCCCCCTCCCCTTTTTTACTTTTAGGTTAACAATGCCACAGCTCGAGTGATGACCAATAAGAAGATGGTCACACCTTATGCAAATGGTAAGAGAGACTGTACTAATGATGAGGTGAAAGGTTTGAAGAAAGACAAAAAGTTCCTGGTGAGGGAAAAATCATGGCGTCTCCTCAGAACAACAACAAAAAACCCCCAACCAAGAGAAAACAACAGCAACCCCACAAACCCTGATTTCTAGTGTTATTCTAAGTGTGTATGGAGGACTGCCATGTTACAGATGGAGAAGTAGGGACAGAGGAGTAGGGACATGCCCATCGTGGCCAAGCTAGGAAAAGAAACCAAGGATGGGTTTCCTGTCACTGCTGCAAGCTGATGCTGTACAGTGGATGTGCAGTGCTTCTGAGTCTCACTGCCATCAGGTTGGTACCTAAATATGAATGCAGAAGCATCACTTGGGGTATGTAATTGGATATACCTCAGTTTAGGTTCTAACTGTAAAAATACAGCTGTCCCCAAGCAGCCTGGAAAACAGACACATTGCAGTGCTTGTTTGCTCACTTTTTGCTATAGACTGTGCTGCTTTTCAATAATTTTCCAGTGAACTGAATAGAAAAAGACAAAGTTGTCTGGGTAATGAAGAATCCTGTTTCATCAGGATATTTTGGTTCTTTTGTCTGTGCAGTAATTTTACTGCATAGGCACATATAGCATAAAAACTTGTTCTTCTCACGACAGAACTGAAATGCTGCTTTGCAGATTTTTGAATTTTTGTCCTGAAACAGTTAGGAAAATTCTTTTTGGTCTGAAAATGTTCCCAAACAGCTTCAACATGGGAGGAAGCTGCACATATGTATCTGCTAGTATAAGAATCCATTTTGATTACAGCGTAAGACTCAGAAGTCAGAAGATAGAAATTTTATTTGTGACTCTGCTATTGACTTGTGTGGCTCTAGGCAAATAAATCTCTTTTTGGTTGCAAAACTGGGGAAAAAGAGGCAAGCAGAAAAGCTGGAATTCTGAGTCTTGTGTCTGAAAGGAATCAGAAGATTTTGTAGTAAACGGCAGTGGAGCCATGTTCTGTTGTCCTGAAAACAAGGGCAGAAAATGCATGTGTCTGGTAACGAAACGTGGCTCGTGGATAACCAGACAGAGTATTTTGCTTTTGCAGTCAGCTTTAAAGCTTCACAAAGGTATTGAGTAGTAGGCCAGGTTTAAGGCATGCTGATGAGTGGTCATATGACTGTTGTTAAATTTGAGGATTGATCCCAGTCATTGCCACCACTCAAGTATTTTGCCATCAAGGTGGGCAGTGCAGTGGCAGCATGCCCAGTCTTGTAGGGTGAGCGTGCATTGCATCTCTCGTTGATACTTGGCCAGCAGATGAAGGGGTGATGTTGATGGGCTGCATTCAGTTGTTCCTATGGTTTCTAGGCTGGTTAGAGGTGTTAAAATGCAGTAACTGTGCACCAGGACTCCAAGACAGTGGAAGGGTATGGATTTTATTTAAAAATACCTGTGTGATTGCTAGCTGAACAGCCGAGGTCCTCCTGAAAGGAGTGCTTTATAGAAGCCAGTCCAGAACATGATGTTAGCTTTGCACCCCTTGCTTCTCTCCCCAGTTAGAAGTGGGGCGAGGGGAGATGATAGATGTGTTTCTAGATCTGACTGGGGAGTGTGTTCGTCCTAATACCCCAGTGATTACCTCTTTAAGCACTGTTCTCTTGTAGGGTTTATGTTGATGGTTTGCAGTTCTTGCCAGTTATCCTGATAGTATTAAAATCAGTTCTCTGGTAAGGCTTTCAACTGGAAAGCAGAATAAAGATCGCAGGAAGTACTAAAATAACAAAGAGGAGAAAATGTGAGTTGAATAGACCGAATTGCTTTTCTGCACCATAGTTGCATAATTAAGTGAGTGAGGAAATTCAGATGTGGTTGCTTCTTAGCAGATTTCTAGCGAATAAGACATAGAGAGGTGTTTTGAGAATTTAAGGCTATAAATTGTCTTGCCTGGGATGGCAGTCTGGGCCAGTGGCTTAAGAGAGGCTTTAGATCTGCAGCATTTCTGGTGAAAGCAGGGAGGAGCTGGCTACAAGGCTTATGCAGGGAACGCAGGGTCGCAGGGTGCTTGTGGCGAATATGCATATAAGGTAGTTGGCATTCCCTCAGCAGTGCCTCTGCCTGCTGCAGATCAGCTGATGTTTTTGCTGTTCCCTCTGATACAGCCACCTGCACCTAGAACTTGACATTAGAAAAAGGCAGTTGGCCTCCATCTACACCAAGGGGGATTGAGGTGAAGCAGAAATTGGAAAGAGCTGTGCATGTGAAGCTGGGGCGCACGAAAGAGACCGTTCCCCCTACCCACGCTGCCTGCTCCTTCTCTTGGTGTAGATTCTGGCATTCACTGCAGTCTTTGTTGTTTCAGGTTGGAAGTTGAGTCCTGTGGTTGGAGCGGTGTACGGCCCTGAGTTATATGCAGGTAGAGCTTAAGTAGACACTTCCACTTCTGCCATTTAACTGCAGTGGTGTTTGTTTTATGTTCTCAACCTGCTATTTCTTTATAACCTTTTTACATTTTGTTTTTTTCTGTTCTTTTTAAAATTAAATTAGCATCCAGCTTTCAAGCAGATGTCTCGCTGGGCAATGACGCCGCAGTGCCCCTGTCAGGAAGGGGGGGTATTAACACTTACATTCCTTTAATCAGTAAGTAGCCCCTGTTGGCCCCTGTATTGTTGCTGTGCTTGAGTTAATGATGACCTGTTACCTTTCTTCTCTCCAGTCTGTATAATATATACTTGAAAGGATGGGTCTCGCTGGGAATGAGTTTATCTTGAGCCAAAGTATACTGTGCTGTGGCTGTAATTTGTTCATCTGCAGTGTGTTTCTGTACTGGTGAATGGGTCTTTGAGTGATGAGGAGGCTGCAGAACAAGGGAAGGGTGTGTGTGAGGAATAGGCCATTCCCTTGCTCCCCCTCCCCCTTTTGAAATCAAAGAAACCAAACAGACAAATCCCTAAAGTACATATTATACAAGCTGTTAAAGCGGGGCCCCCAGTGGCATGCACCTGGACGCACTTCAGGTTGAGTGTGCGCCCCAAGACTCCTTCCCTCTTGGTATCTGTTGATTACACGTTTGCAGATGCCTCTGAGGTTTTTCATCATTTCATCACAAGCCAGTTTACTCCATTGTAAAGCGTTAATAAAGCTGGCTTCGCTTTACGTGGAGCCAGTTTCTGGTCACACTTGTTAAATGAATGTGGGCTCTCAGTAAACTGGCACTTTATGGGAAATTTCTGCTGCTGTTATATGGGCTATCTTGTCTTTCAGGCTTTAAAATGAACATACAGAGGATTGGGTGGCAAAGAGTGGGAGGGGAAAGGAGGGAAGAGACTGATGTAAGTTGGTTGACTTTAAGGGCCTCTTGACAAATTATTTTAAAGAGCCTCTGCAGTTTTGGAAGAGCCGCCTGCTACATTGATAGTAACTCTCTGCGCTTCTCGGACTCTAACCAGACTGCATGGCGGTGTCAAAAGTCGGGGGGATTTGTACCCTGTTTGTGGTGGGTGAGGCATGCCAAAGCATTAACCTCTTGCATGCCAAACCTCTCTGCAACCCCTCTTCCCCCAAAGGCCATGGTGTAGCAGGAAGTATGTATCGGATGCTTGCTGGGTTATAAGCATGCCCCTCTGCAGGACTGATGCAAAACGTCCCACCGCTGTGGAGCTATTGTGTCACTTTGTTTGAAGCAAGCAATTGTTCTGTGGGAAGCAGCTCGGATCCTTTTCACCCTCCACCTTGTCTGTCTTTGCAGTTCCAGGCTTCCCCTATCCAACTGCAGCCACTACAGCAGCCGCATTTCGGGGAGCCCATCTGAGGGGCCGAGGAAGGACAGTGTATGGGGCAGTCCGGGCGGTACCTCCCACAGCCATCCCTGCCTACCCAGGGTAAGCACTGGTCATGAGAGCAGAGTGCTCTGCACAACCATGTCAAATAGCTGATTGGTTAACAAAAAAATAAGATTGTCTGGATGGTGAGAGTCAGGATATCACTAGTGCCAGAGCATTCTGCACACTGTTCCATCTGGTCAGGGCAAATCTTAATTTTTCCATGTTATGTTCTTGACTGAAACAATTTTCAGTACTTGAAACAGCTTAAAGAGCTGATGGATTTCTTAAAATTTCTCAATTTGTCTATGTGGCATTTGTCATCCGTTGACCCAATACATTATAGCGCTGCTGAGAAGGAAGCAAAGAGAGAAGGTCTGAAATTTCCCAAAATGTTTCACTCTTTGCACTCCATTTGTGTTTTTGTATCCAGAAATGAGGAATATTACCCATTACCTTCATGCCTCACCATCTGGCAGTAGGACAGAGAAGAGCCAGTTACCCACAATGGATTTGCTTTCTTTGTTGGAGAGGGTTTAAAAAGGTTTAAAACAAAGATTAGTAAAGTCCATTAATTTAAAATTGGGAGTGTTTGGGATATAAGGGAGAATGAAAGTGCAGCGTTCTAACTGTTGTGTGAAGCAATGGTGAATTCATGGCCTTAGCATTCTTTGCCCTCTGATTTTTCACTGGTACTGCAGTGGAATAGATGCTGTTACAAAAGAGTATTCTGCTATTTAAAAATATAGGGAAGTAAGTTTATATGTGAATTCTGTTTGTTTAAGCAGGATGAAATGACAGATAAATCAGAAAATCCATTCTAAACTGACTTCTTTGTTTCTGGAGTTGGGGATGCTCTGTGCATATTCCCTGTTTCTGGAATTTTACTTACCATATTTTCCAGGCAACATTCTCAGAAAGAATAGGAATGAATCCTCCAATACAGAGAAGTGGATGGACCCTTTTTACCTTTACACTAGCCCCAAAATAGAAGAAAACAAATTTTAAATCTTTTATTACAAAGGGGAAGTGGAAGCCCCACACATCAGTGCAAGGAGCTGACCTGATATGCGCTGGATAAGCTTGCAGTACCTTCTGTAGCATATTAAGTGATGAGAGTTACTGTGGCTCTCTTTCTAGAGTTCAGTCTGATATTTCAAGTGGAGTTTAAGGAAGCAAGCTGTGGTGGTCCTGTATCTGTCTAGCTTTGCTCTTGGGCAAATCTGGCAATGTTTGTATTTAATTCACCAGAAGACTTTAAATGAAACCTTTTGTCTGAACAAATTTGCCTTCCAAACTGTGTTTCTTACGGGTTTTCAGAGGCACCTCCTTTTGTCACTGCTCCTAGTTCATACTCTATATCCTCTAACCATAGCCTCTAACCTGCAACTTGGCTGTCTGTTGAGCTAAAAAAATTACCCAGTCTGGTATTATTAGGAAATGCTCCACAGTAAAACAGAGAAGCAAAGCCGAGCTAAGTGCTACTGTCTAGCAGAATGTGAAATACTTGCACGGGGGAGGGGAGATGCTCACTTCATCCCTGGGAATAATGACTGGAGCATTCATAGCAAGAGGCTATCACAAGTGGCTCAGTGGGAGGGACTCTAGGCTTGTCTTTATAAATCCAGCCTGAGTCCCATATAAAAGATTTATTTCCGTTTCAAATATGGGCCAGGCTCCAATGATTTGCTCTTCCAAATACTGTCTCATGACTGTGTTTACTTTTGTTGAGTTTGTCTGACCCTGCTGACTGAATTCTTGTCTTCATGGGCAGTGTACTATCCACTAAACATTTGCAGGGCAGCAGCAAACAAGGCAGGTTCACAAATAGCCCAGAGCTGCCCTAGTCCTATGCACTGGAATGTAATTAGCCAATTCTGGTGTTTTTTGTCCTCATAGTGTGAATCTGTACAAGATCTTATGCAGAAGGAATTTGATTCCTTGTGAAATAATACAAAATGCGCTGTTCAGTTCCATGTTGCAGTAACCTGTAGGACAAGCACCATCAGCCTCCATGGAATCAGGGGCAGGCAGACATTCCTGACATTTTACCCTGCATCAGTTGCTTTCTTCCTGGCCAGTGGAAAGATGACACTGCAAGATCAGTCAGCAACACAACTGATCAAGACATAGTGAGTAATGTGGAAGAAGACAGTAAAGTAAACTGCAAGTTAACTCAGACCTGGTAGAAGTAATTGGTTTTCACAGACCTCAGTGGTATTTAAGTTACAAAACTGAATGTTATCACTGCATTTGAGAGCTCAGCAGAATTAAAAAAATACAGAATATAGATTAGTTAAAGCTCGTTGGAATTGCCATACTGGATCAGACCTGAGGGCCATTTAGGTTAGAGTAAGTCTTGACAGTGTCTAGTGCTAGATACTCCAGAGGAAGGTGCGAGAAATTATGTTGTTCTTAATAGTTTTAACATTTATTTCAAGAACTCAAATGAAGATTTACTAAGGCATATGTGGAATGTACATACTTAAGTATGGACATGGGCATTTATCCAGGGAAGGCTATTCATACCTTAGAAAGCAATTGCTCAGACCATCAAAGAGAATGCGAGATAGTTACCCGAGTCTGACCTCAGAATACAAAGGCAACCTTCAATTTAAAACTAAGGCAGGATTCAATAGAAGGAAGGAGATGTTATAACCTCTGATATATAGTGTGAGTAAAACCTGTTCTGGAATATTGCCCTAATGTTTAGTGGGCATACTATATAAACAAGGATGCTGATAAATTACTCTTCAGACCAAAGCTGTGAGAATTAAATCAGTCTTAAAATAACTTTCCTACTGTGAAACTCTCAAAACTAAATAAGCTTGTTCCATTTTATGGAACTGTATGTTAGGCATTGACTTGTTTATGGTCATTAAGTACTAATATGAAGAGTATGCTTACTGCAATGAAGAATAATTTAGTCTATGAGTTTAAATGCATAGAGTATTCACTGACTCAAAGCCAAAAGTAGTTAAAAGTCAGACTAGATATACGGCAGTAGGGAGCTTTGGGGGTTTGGAGTGGCTTTTTGGTTCCTTTTACAACAAAGTCAACTGTTGGTACACCTAAATGATATGACAGCTGCTTTACAAAACCAGCGTATTTCCTTCTCCTGTGGATGTGTGTTAGCTCAACTAGTGGGCTTTCAGATGCCACTGAGATTTGATGGGCTGCTGGGCTGCTTTATGCTTCTGGTCAGTCTACGTAACTAGAATGGTCTCTCTGGTTCTCAAGTGAAGGAATTCTCTCAGTTTTTGCTAGCATTAAAAATCACAGGTATATTCTAACATATAAATAAACCTTGATAAGTTTCAGCCCTGGCAGTTGGTGTCAGTGAAGTTTTAACTTAAGGGCAGATGGAGGATGCACATGTGCTTTGTTGTTTGGACTTACTTGTTATTAGTAAGTTCTCATTGTTATTAGAAGTCTTACTTGTTATTAGTGTTCCTTGCAGTTTTCTCTGGAGAGCTGATGCTAGCATCTCTTGCTGACAGGATTCTAAGTTACAGGAATAGTGGCCTGATCCAATGTGGTAATGCTTATGTTCATCCAACAGATCGTCTTCAGAATAACTGTTAAAACTGCTAACCTGTTCATAAACCAACAGTCACTTCCTCTGTCATGCGTTTGCCTTTCCTGCAGGAGCAGGTGGAGTATCACTGCTAAAACACTCCTGATCCTAGATAGAGAACCCAGCAATGTAAGTCACTGCCCCAGGAGACAAATTTTTTGTTATATGGTTGTAAAAATTTAGCTTCAACAAAAAAGATCTTACGGCCTGCTTCTCCTGCTGA